TTTCTAATACTGAGACCCAGGAGTGGATGTATTCCTCCATGACTTGGTGTTAAGCACAGAGGCAACTTCATCTGGATCTTTTTAAATACCTGAACAGTTCAACAATTTACTATGATTCTTGTCTCCATAATACAGAACTTGATACATGAGGGAACTGGTTGCACTGTATGTGCTTTATAAATTATTTAACAATGCTGTGTTAAGAATTATGAGCTTATTCAGCTTGAAGTTAGCTGAGAGAATGACTTGGAAAGAATTTAGGAGAAAGCAGTTACAGCATATTTCAAGGTAGTATCCGGAATTTTATTTCAACTATGGGACCACAGTTCCCATTGCTGTGCAACAATGGCCCCTGGTCATGCAGGTTTCCTGTGTTATATCAAAACAATGACTGCAGACAGACAAACATGGATGAGACAATAAGGTTTTTTTTTATTCATACTAATCCATGAATACATAACAAACAATTGGTGCTTTATTCTAAATACTGTGAACTGGTCACTTTTGAAGTAGCAAAAATGCACCCATGAGCTTTGCTGTGTTTGTCTTCTGCCTGTAATAACTCTAGAAGTGCAGAACAAAATTATGTGAAATTTGATATTGGGAAGCAGATTACAATTTGTTGACAAATTCCAACTTTTATCTAAATCAGATAATGATAATGGACATTTTTTGTGAAGACTTTCATGCACTTCTGTGCACATCTTGGACATAACTTGCTAAGTATTTATCAGAGTGAAAGCTGTAGAGAGAAATTAAACACATTTTATGCCAATACACTTTTTCTGTAATTATTATGGTTTTTGATATAATTAAAAGTGATTTTTACCATCATTTTTAACTTGAGAGCTACTGAACTCATTTTTAATTTTATTATAAAAAGTCCTTGCTTCTCAGCACCTCTTATTTCAACAGAATATCAAAAGTTAGCTTTGTGAGTGAGAATATAGCATACATCTTGTAACATTACAACACAGGGAATTTGAATCACATACTGCATTAACACAGATTTTTATTTATTTCAGTGATATTTGTTTAGGAACAGTTATTTTTATAGGGGATATTTCAAGTTACAGAATGTGAAATTGTGTGATGAATAGACAATGTATAGATTTTACACCTCAGTCACAGAATGTATTTAAAAAGCAATTGATATGAACAGTAAATTGTTTAAATTTTCATCCAACATAATCTCAAAGTGGTCATGCTCTATCCCAGCATTTGCCTGATTTGACAAGTAAACCACTAGAAACTTCAGAACACTCAGTCATCCATACTGAGGTTTAAACGGATGAACTTTCTTAATATAAAGCATGTGCTAATAATTGACATTCATTGGCTGGGGACAAGCTGACCTGGAATAACACTGTCCTAAATAGTCTTTTAACAGATTTTAAATTATCGTGGTTGTAAGAGTTCACATTTTCATCTTCTGATTTGTGACCTTCAAGACTACACAGTGTAACAACCCAGAAGGTTGAGTTTGAATGTTATTTGATAGTTTGTGCATGGCCTCTAAGACAAATATTATTATTCACCACAGCAACATGGACATTTATAATTCCATTATAGATAATAGATTGATATTTATAGTAATGAACAAGTGGCTGGTCAAGATTGCACAACAAGTCTCCTGTTCAAACAAAGTGACAGTTTTGTTCTCATTGTTCCTTATCCATAGTTGAATACATGGAATTTCAGAATATACATTTTTGTCCTTGTACTGAAATGTATTACGCTATAACCTCTTATGTTGGAAAGGAGTCCTGAAGTGTGTATTTTGTGGTGTGCACTTATTATTGTCATGTGTTACTCCTAGTATGTGTACTGTTTGCATTTATTTCGACTATTCATTTGTATTACCTTAAACATTTGTGTTCAATATATTTGTCTTTACATGAGCTTTTTAAATTTTTTGCACAGTCCATGAAATTAACATATGATGGAGAGGTCATGTCTTTAACATATTTCATTTTAAAAACTGCTGAAATATGTTTGATGATGAAATTTGGTTTGGGAAAGTTATACACAATTTAATTTAGTTTTCTACTATAACCCCACTGTACATGGATGACACATCAAGCACTATTGACATTGGATTTTTAAAACATAGGACATTATATATAAACAAAACTAGTACAGGTAGCCCTCGATTTGCGCCGATTCAAAATAACGCCGGTTTTGAAACCAGCAAGTCAAAAAGTGAAAAAAATATATTTTAGTATTATTTATAATGTTTTACAATGTGTATCGTACTGATTCTTATAATAAATCGTAATTCTTACATCGCTGATTTTGAATAAAAATTATGAATACAGTCATTTCTGCAATTACGTATGTTTCGTTAACGCGAATTTGCTCCAATGAGGTCGATGAATCGGTAAAAGCTGTTTGTGAAATGCAAACTTTTGCATATGCGAGTTTGCTCTTATGCAATTTGGTTTCTGGCTCTTTAAACTTTCAAAAGAATTAATTTAATCTCTGCGGAGGTACCGGGGTTATATTTACTACGATTTTCTATAGGTCGGCGTCTTACATGAATGCAAGTATCGCATAACAACAGAGATGACTGTACACATCAAACACATGAAAGAATCGCAGTCAATCGCGAGGACCAACGAATTGCAGATTGTAAGTGTATAAAATATATTTTTTAAATTCCCTTTATTTTATTTACGTTATTTCAGAGCTTGAAATGTAATGCCATTATATTACTCGTCAATGTTTGGGTGCTGGGAACGCATGTCATTGACTTCCCATTGATTTACATTATAAAAGAGTTTCAATTTACGCCGATTCCGTTTATGCCGGTTTGTCCAGGAACGCATCCGCGGCGTAAATCGAGGGTTACCTGTACATTACAAAGTAGAGATCACACATAAATATCTGTAACTGTAATTTTAAATACTTAGGTAAGAAATATAGGAAAATATAATTTGTGACTGCAGGCAGTTCATTGTCTAGTGTCTTGCTATGTGAACAATAGATTTGCATGTGTAGCAAATGAGAAGACAAAACTTCACACAATACATATGGGAAATGTGTACTTGTTTGCATATGGCAGGAAACTTTTGTTATTTGGATTATTATTAAGAAAGGCAGATATAACAATTGCCAGTGTATGAAAGTTTGCCTTGTTTTTTGGAACCTGAAGTTTTGATACAATTTCCATAAAATCCTATCACTATGCTCAAGCTTCATTTATTTCACATCAGTATAAGAGTCAGTAAGCACATTATCTCATTAATCTGAACAGAGCAAGAAAATGTGTCATGGTGAGAGACAGTGCTGCTCATTTTCATATAGAAAGCTTTACTAATAATGGAACTCCTGTGTAATTATCCTTAAAGTAGTATCACTGCCAGGTTATGTATTTTTTAGACACATTTAGAACTGAAAGTTGCAAAAATGTGTCCATTAATTTTGCCATATCCATCTGTCTATCCATGTGCTCACATGCAACAACTCCAGAAGTGCTGAGCAAATGTTCATAAAATTTGATTTGGGGGATTTTACTCAGATTCTTCAACATTTCAGATCTGATTGGCTACAATAAGGGGCACTTTACATGAAGACCCCTCTGCTCACAAAAGTCACAAGCCAGTCATGCAGTTGCATGGGAATCCTGTTATACGAGGCGCGTCCACAAAGTAAGTTTCCCACTCGTCCCACAGCTAGCAAACCTTATATTGCGCGAAGCGACTGTGCGTACGTGATAGAGCAATGACGTAGCATGGCCCATGCACTAACGGTACTTCCCGCGTTCTCACAGTAGCATCGTTGCAGCTGTTGAAGATGGAGGTTCTTATTCCAGCTCCCGCCGACTGTGAAGTGCGGTCAGTGATAACGCTAGGCCGCACACGGCTCGACGGACAGCAAGTCTCCTGCAGGAGTTCAGCTGGGAGGTGTTTAATCATTCACCCTACAGCCCCTACCTCGCTCCCAGTGATTTCCATCTTTTCCTACACCTCAAGAAATTCCTGTCCGGTCAGCGTCAGCGTTTTGAGAATGACAGAGAGGCGGAGATGGTTGTCACACAGTGGTTCCAATCCCAGGCGGCAGACTTCTACGACACAGGTATTCAAAAGTTGGTCCCACGGTATGACAAATGTCTCAATTCCGGTGGCGAATATGTTGAAAAATAGTTGGAAACTTGCTGTATCTGTTGCAATAAATATTTCCTTGAAATTGTGTTTTGTTTCTGTAAACGGACCCAGGGAAACTTACTTTAAGGACGAGCCTCGTATTACCCAGACAAGCACTCCTTGCCCATGCGAAGCTCAATTACCCTACATAACTCTAAACGTGCTCGCTACCCCTGCTCTAAGGCAATTTATTTCATACTTTAGTTGCTGCAACCCTTCCACTTTTAAAACATTGTTTAAAAGACAGTTTTGCAAATTAACTTGTTTACATGTGATATTGGGCATACAATTTTAGAGTTAATGCAAACTGCTATAAACGTACACAGGCCTGTGTTTTTTTTTATAAAATGATTGTTTTTGCATTATTCAACAGGTATTATAACAGGAAAATACTGTTATCACGTAATTTAGTCCTGCTCTCGTGATTTAGTCTCTCATATTTTGTACAGTTTCGACACATGCAATCTGCTGTTGCACGTAACTATAATCCTTAGAATTGCTCATATATGATAACTGTTCAGTGTGGCAACAAATCTCGGGCTTATCATACCGGAGTTATTGAGTAAATTTGTTTGAAAAAGGCCATCAACTTATTTAAAATTAATAAGGAGAGAGAAATTTCAGAGCACAAAGGTACATTTTGAACTAACTACGGGCAATGCTAAATTTAGGTTGGCACTGTGTAGTACTTCGAATTTCTGGCGAATTTAAATTTGTGTACTTTATTTAAACACATAAGGGACAAAGAAAGGTAAAAAATACCAGTAAAAATATAATTTGTATTGCACTTAACTCACTTTACGCGAATGAACATCTTTTGTTTACGAAAGTGGAATCGGGTTCTTGGCTGCAACTGGAAACATTTTGGCGGTTAGCAGCTTTAGCAGTAGGTGTGATACAAAACATACATAACCTACCAATTGAATTTACTAATGAAGACTTATTTTTTCAGAAAACATTATTACTAACGTATGTGCAGTGATTTTAACAATTGTCTTTCGTATCGGTGGCTAAGCGTTCATTTTTAGGGAACGTACTCGTACAGTTGCTAACAAACTGTACTTACCTGAGTAAGTGGTCACCATACTATAAGATATACCTTGAATTTTAAGACATATTTGCGAAGTGTAAAATCATGATTTACGTATTTACTTGAGAATGCAAGGGTTGTGTATAGAAAAATGCAGTTACTTTAGAGACTTTCTAAATGTTGTTAGTGGTATTATTTAATTTGCTAATGTAAACATACAGACCAGTTAGGTAAATGTACAAATATGGGACATCTGCCCAATCAGTTTAGCAGAGTTCTAATAGTTTTAGCAAGAAATCAGCATGTATTCAGCAGTGATGTGCCAGTTCTTTCTATATCCACTCTCACATTCAACAGAACAAGGCATATTTCTTCCAAGCTCTAACCTCATATCAGTGCTGTATTTTTATGTAGATGTTCATGAGTCAGGGTGAGTGAGACTGAACTATACTTTTTAAGAGTTTTTTAATTGCTGGTGTATATCACCATCATTATCCACTGACATCTGTTAATTTTACTAGTACAGCTATGGCATCTGCTGGTACATAGTGTGTGTCCAAATATGTGATGGATATTACTAATCAAATGTTTTATAAATTTTTGTTTTAGATAAAAAAGGAACATGGTAAGAAAAAAGCGAAGCCGTAAAGGAAGAAAATCAGTATCTACCATCATTAAGCAAGAAGATGATTCTGAGAACTCACAGGAAAGAACTAGTGGCCTGTACCAATCAAATGTGTGGATTCAGGATTTTGATATGCAGTGTAATTTGATACCACTTATTGAATACAATTTTAACATTAACATAATTAATTTACATTAAGTGATATAGTAATGACATTCTCATTAAAGTAACACATTACTTTTGATGTAACCTTTCTTTTTTCAAATGTCTGCAGAGGGTAATTTTTTATGTGGAATGGCATTTACAATTTGTTTTTATACCTTATACACAGTCACGAGAAATGCAGAAAAGTAAAAATATATGTTTATGCCTCATCACCAAAATGCAGGACATAGTTATGCTGTAAAGACGGTTAAAACATTGGAACTGTGGGTATAGTCCAAGTACTTTGAATGACAGTACCAAATCAAATGTTACTGATAATGAAATTAGCTAATATTAATTTTGGAAATGCATGCTTTGATTCAGTTGAGAGCTTTTTATTTTCCTGTGCCTCATTCAAAGACTTAAGAATCAGAATTTACAAAGTATATTTATATTTTGTATGTATATATGTAGAGATTCTGTTAGGGAAGAGCTTAGATTGTAGATGTTTTGAGAACAAAGTTAAAAATTGATGAAAGCTGAAATAACACAGGACTGAAGACAATTACATAGTGAGGAGATTATTAATTTACACTCTTTACTAATATTGTAAAGGTGAATAAAAAATGAAGGGTAAAATGGGTAGGAGATGAAGTTGAGAAATGCATGAGTATATAATTCCATGGACCAATCCTTAAGAAGCTGATAGTCACTGAGCTAGTCAAGTAATTACTTGTATTTTATGTAAACCAGTTTTGTTATTGTGTTCACAAGAGCCCACCACTGCTCCCAATCCTGAGTCACATAAATCCAGTCCACAGTCTCCATCCTCCCACCCTGTGAAAGCAGTATGACATTGCACAAGTAAATTCTGCCTGTTTCTTTGTTACAGTTACCACTAGACTTTCCAAATTTGATGATATATTGGTTAAGAAGTTGAAAGCAACAGAATGGCATTATGCCTCTGAACGTATGAAAATTCGTCCTGGGATCGGAAATAATAAATTAGTTGTGGAAGATAATGTAAGTATATCTGAAAAGCTGCTTATATTATACTTATGTAATCTACAAGAATGAATGGTGGTTCTGTGGCTATATCATTTGAGATTCTGTAGGGTTTGTGGATGACATCGTGGAGATAATTTTGTAGAGTTTAGAGCTTTATTTATTTTTAATTCTGCCTGTATTTTATATGAATCAATCACTTATCTCTGGTTAAGTTCACACAGAACAACTTGAAAGCTCATGCATTTTTACTGCTATGAAAATCTCTAAATAGTCAGTACGGGCATACCTCGGAGATATTGCAGGTTTGGTTCCAGACCACCGCAATGAAGCGAATATCGCAATAAAGTGAGTCACACTATACTGTAGTCTATTAAGTGTGCAATAGCATTATGCCTAAAAAAAGAAATGCGAGCACATTGTGAGAATTACCAAAATGTGACAGAGACACGAAGTGAGCACATGCTGTTGGAAAAATGGCACCGATAGACTTGCACAATGCAGGGTTGCCACAAACCTTCAATTTGTAAAAGACGCAATATCTGAGAAGCACAATAAAGCAAAGTGCAATAAAACGAGGCATGCCTGTATCTGAATATTTCTTATGGATAATCTGAGTGCATAAAACAGACACTGACAAGTGTGGTACATGCATGTTTACATTTGGATGGATCTTTTTAGGTGAAACACTAATGTAAAAGTGCTAGAGCTTATGAACAAGTTCTGAGACTTGATCTTTTAACATGTAAAGTACTATTTCTTGCAGAGTATAGGAATTTATCTTCTTTAAAGTAGGATTTGAGGTTTTCATGGCAGTGAGTATGAAGATGGCTGTTGTCTGGGTGTAGCACTTTATAGTCTGATAGAAGTTACCAGCATTTTAGAGATCCTTGCGGCCTCCATCATCAGGACAATGAGGAAGTGACTTACTCATTACCATGATGTTAGTAAAATTTTACCAGGCTACATGGTGCGACAACCCAGAAGACAGCCATCTATTCAAAGTAGTCTCCTTACGACCGAATGGCTCCATTGCAGTGGCTTTGCTACTTCCAGATGCTTATCTGCAAATCCTACTTTCTTGTTTGAGGCACAATGATGACTTGTGTTTCATTAAAGTCCCTGTTGTCAAATTGATGTTTACCTTTAAGTGTTGCTTTCAGTATAGGAAAGAGGGAAGTTTGCTGGATATCATGACTATGTTTTTGGGGTTTTCCTCAATCTCTCAAAGCAAATGAAGGTATAATATCTCAAATTAGGCTGTTAATACTTCCATAATCTTTCCACTTTATTATTCATGAATCATCCTATTACTTGATGCTATATAGTTTGAGCTGCTGACAGCATCATAAAATAAATCACAAATAAATAGGTCCTCTTCCCATACACCTTCATGACCTGGTTCTTAGTTGTAGATACATATTTTTATTTGAATCTTATATTGTGCTTCATTTGAAGGGAGAATTTAATTCCAATGATACAACAGTAATGGAAAGCTCAGTTCAAGAAGCTGATACAGCATTAAAGTCTCGTCATCGCAAGAAAACTCGCTGTGGAACTGTAACATCATCTACAGTTCCAACAGGTAGGCCTAATTTAAAACTGAAAATATTGTTGAAAGAGATGTTTATTCAGTTTCCAGAGTATCTTTCTGAAGATGAATTTTTGGTTCTTCATTTATTAAAAAATGTTTAGAGTTTAGAAGTTTGTGATTTGTTGAGAATATGACAGAGAACTTTATGTTATTGAAAATATTAGACCAAGTGAGTATATGCACGGAAACATAAGTTCTTAGGATTTCAATAGATAATTCTTTTTGTTCCTGAAGTTTGTTTGGTTTATATATTTAACAGAATAATAAATTTGTTGTTACTTTATCCATGTTATAATTTACATATGAGCTGGGATACCTCAGTCAGTATAGTGACTAGCCCGGGGCTGGGCGATTTGGGTTCGATCCCCGATGGGGGCAGAAGATTTTTACTCTAGCCTCTGCGTCCAGACCGGCTCTGGGTCCACCCAGCCTCCTGTCCAGTGGGTACCGGGATCCTTTCCTGGGGGTAAAGCACGGCCAGGGCGTGATGCTGACCACTCACCCCCATGTAGTGTCGACGCTCCCCCCAAGTGCCTGCATACGCATGTAGCGGGACGCTTTACATATAATTTACATATTGAAGGAGACAGGAATACCACTGTTAATGTAGTGTGCACTTCTGGGTATGCCATGGTATTTTTGTTAATAATTTTCCTCTGTATAAACCTTTGAATATTTAATTATTTAGGGATAGGGTATTCAAATTTCTTTCTTATTATGAACATAATTTGTAATTAGAATATTTGAGGTTTTTCCTTCAAAACCAATGGCAGATGCTATTAATGCTTATTTTGTATACTCATTGTGAGCTACCATGGAGAGCTTAAGGTTGAGGTTTGTTTCATTTTATGAGACTCGTGAAGTAGGAATGAAAAAGGGGAAAGAAAGTATTAAGTACATAATATTTTGGCCATAAAATCAGAGGAGGGTCCACTGCCATACTGTAAAACTGGAATTGAATTGGAGGGTTTCATTTGACTGGGTTCCCTTGTAAGTAATGATTAGCATTCCATTTCTATAGGTGAATAACTGTGTTGGTTTGGCACCACCATTGTATCATCTAACTTCCTGTATTCCCACTAAATATGTCACATTTTTGTAAATCTCTTGATAAAGTTTTTGAAGAACTTAACATTCATAACATGATAGTCTTTTGTGGTGGGGAGTTTTTAGAACCCAACCCTCAATTATTGCAATGCAGCAGTTTATATGATATGTACCGCAAGTGCTAGTTTGTTTTATTACAGAACTAAGGCGAGTAACACGGAGCATTTCATTGAACAGCAAAGATCGAATGCCAGAACCTATGGCAGTTGCAACTGTATCAAAATTCAAGGTGAGGAAAGACATTTTCAAAAAATTTAAAAATTAAACTGAATATTGTGAGGAGCTTACAGTAGATTCTGGTTCTCTGGGGAATGGATTCTAGTTTTATTTTTAGTAGTTATTCAACTGATCTAGAACTTCCTGCTTTTATTGAACAGAAAAATACCTACTTTCAGCTTCTGTGTTAGCTAATTTGTTTATTAATTTAATTATAAGGTGCCACTGAGTCAGATATGAGGAAAGATAGAATCTGAAGTTGTATGTAGGCAGATTTTGCTCATTTGATACCTTTCTGTGCCAGTTGCTGAGCTATGATTGATTTGCGGCTATCACCAAATGAATCAGAAAGCAAAAATCAGTGAACTCTGCTGAAGTAGAACATGGTAACAAACAGTTCAACTGGTAAAACTGTGCTGCCAGCTCACAAAATATACCCTTTGAAGAATGCTTTGTATTCTTGTCTTATTCATACGAATGAATATCATGAAGAAAATATTTAAATGGGTAGACTCTATCTCTCCTAGGCTGATCAAAATATAGCATACTGAAAGGTGGTAGGTTACATTTGTTGTCATTCTCCAAAGAACTGAGAAAGCAGGATACCTGGCACTCTAGATATATCAGTCATTTTTGTACCCTTTTAATTGTGATTTTTATTTTTCAACAGACCCCAGCTTGTAAATCAACCTTTGCATCTGCTCCTAGCCTTATAACACCAAAGGTTGCACCCAATGCACCTTTGTCTATGGTGCGGCATCCTCGCCAAGGTGAATTGGCCGTTTCTTTATCTGGCAGTCCTCTGATAGTCAGTTCAACTCTACATGAGCAGAATGCAAATGTGAATCTTCGCCTTGCTAATGGGACGGTATGTACTTTATGGTACACATTATAACCTGTATGAAACAGAACCTAGGTGGAATAAGCAGAAAATTTGTGTCTGGTTCTGAGATGTTAGGGTGCAGACTAATGTAAAATTATATTAAAGAAATGGGAACTGTTTAGTGTGAAGTGAAAAAGATACGTTATAGAATGTAGACTTCATTTATGTTGGCATATTATTTTATTCGGCACTACTTCCAGGAATGTTTTTGATAAAGAACCTCTTGTCACAAATGGGAAAGCACTAAATCTAAATATTGACAGAATGTCTCTGAAATACTTGAATTGACAACAAAAGGCTGTATTGTGGCTCAAGCAGTTAATTGCCAGCTTCTCACTGAGGAGGTTCAGTTTCACACCCAGGACAGTCCACATGGGATTTATGTATGGTGGGAAAAGGGGCACTGGGACAGGATTTTCTCTGAGTTCTTCTCTTTTCCCTCATCAATATTATTTCACTGCTGCTTCATAATCACTCATGTATCATCTGGGAACCGGACTGGTAATGTGTAGTCATGTCACTTAATTCAGCCACTGTATTCTTATATGATGCAGTCTTTTCCAGTTTTATTTGAGCTATAAGTAGTGGTGCGCTAAATCATAGATCGTTGTCACTAGTTGTGTTAATTTTAACTTGCGGAAAAATTTGACAGACCACATTATGAAATATAATACTGCTTAGAAGTGTAAGCCCACATTTAAAGTAGTGTTTTGTCATGGTTTATGAACATGATTTTGGAAATCAAATTAATCAGCCAGAAATAAACTTCATTACCTGAAACTACACTTACGTCAGTGAGAACAAAATACTCGCCCCATCTCTTGGGCAGAGAATATTGCTGTCATGCACATTGCATTACAGATCCGAGTCTTCAGATAGCATTGTGACCATCACACACTACTTGTATGCCATTTGCTCAGACTAATGAGCTGCATAGCATCCATGTTATAAAAGAAGGATAACAGCTTTTACACTTTGTATGTGAAGAGACTCAGGCAATATCTCTGTCTTGTGGAAGAAAGGTCTTTGTTTCACAGATGATACATCTCATGACAATGTTAGTAATATAGATACTTAATTTTTAAATTAAATGTGGGTTATAAACTTTTTTGCCTATACCTCTCATTGAATATTATATTATATTGCGTTTTTTACAAATTGAAGGTTTGTGGCAACCCTGCGTCGAGCAAGTTTATCAGCACCATTTTTCCAACAGCATGTGCTCACTTCGTGTCTCTGTGTCACATTTTGGTAATTCTCGCAATGTGCTCGCATTGCTTTTTTTAGACATAATGCTATTGCACACCTAATAGACTACAGTATAGTGTAAACATAACTTTTATATGCACTGGGAAACCAAAAAATTCTTGTGACTCATTTTATTGCGATATTCGCTTTATTGCGGTGGTCTGGAACCAAACCTGCAATATCTCTGAGGTATGCCTGTATATCTGTCCCGCGCGGTCTTAGGCATCATGCTTCGGACCGGCGATATGGAATGCACGCTGGTTCGAGTCTCAGGGGAGAAGAAATTTTCTCATGAGCTTTCGACCAGTGTATGGGACCGGTGCCAACCCAGCATCGTGAGTAAATTGGGGAGCTACAATGGGTAGCATAATCCAGTCATGAAAACTAGCAATGGCTGGGGGTTTGTCGTGCTGACCACACGTCACCCTATATCTGGTTGGATGATCGTTCACCTCTGCTTAGGCATGTGAACGTGAGGCCAGCAGTCAAGCTAGTCAGCTTTGGCCCTCTGGAGCTGTTACGCCACGGATTTAATTTTTTAATGCCTGTATATCTGCATAATCCAATTTCTGTTTTGTAGGTGGTGTCAATTTTACCAGAACCGAATTTAAGACCATATGATATTCCTCAGGTTGATGAAGAAACAAGGCAGCAGTTGCAAACTTTGAGGGAACATATGAAAGCACTTATCAACATGACTCATTACTGAACACTGATTTGTCTCTAATTTGTAGAAAAGTAGTTTAATTTGTAACAGTGAAAGTTAGATTAAAAATTTCCTTACTTCTCAGCATGCTATAAATGAATGATTTATTATACAGGGTGTCCATAAAAAACCTTTACAACTTCAAGACTTCATAAAAAATTAATGAGTCAAGATAACTGGATGTGATTTGTTGTTTGTTAAACAGCGTCTCTCAAAGTTTTATGCACATAAGTCAGTACACCTCTACATGTGCACCCTTAGTTGCACGTGGCACATCAAGCCGATACTAGATTTCCCTCCATGTTCGCTGAAGAATCTCTGCATTAATGATTGCAATGGCTTCCACAATCCTACGCTTCATTTCGTCGATGTCGGGAATCTGTGTTCGGTACACAAGATCCTTAACATAACCTCAAAGAAGAAATTCAGTGGGGTTATGTTGGGCGAACGAGGTGGCCACGGTATTGGACCATCTCTCCCAATCTACCTGTCAGGAAACTGCTCGTTAAGGTAGCCACGAACCGCCTACCCCCAGTGGGGTGGTGCTCCATCCTGCTGGAAGATGACATGTTGTTGAATGTCCTCCAATTGTGGGACAGCAAATTCCGTCAGAATGTCCACATACACATTGGCTGTGATTGTTTTTTCGGCGAAGAATGGCCCAATTATTCGGCCACACATGAGTCCGCACCACACGTTAACTTTCGGGCTATTGCGCACAAGTTCTCTGGCCGCATGGGGGTTTTCGGATCCCCATATCCTTATGTTGTGCCTGTTCAGTAACCCAACACATGGAACGTTGCCTCGTCACTAAAGAGAACACGCTCAAGGAAGCCTTCCTCTACGTCAGTTCGAGCCAGCATGTCAACAGCAAATGCTGTGCGGCGTGGCCCATCATCTGGCTCAAGAGCTTTCACCACCTGCACTTTGTATGCGTACAGTCTCAGATTCTTGTGCAGCACTTTGTGGACAGTCGAACGTGGCAACTCCAATTGTCTGGCGGCAGTGCGAATGGACTTTCCAGGGCTACGGACAAATGCACCTCGATAAACCAGGATACACATTGTGCCTTCTCCTGTGGAGTATCCATTTCCTGTAATGTTAAATGTCAGTCGACGTGCACACCTTCAATTAACAAAAGTTATGTTATTAACACTAAACAAACTTCTCTTAAAAACTTTGAGAGATGTTGTTTAACATGCAAAAAATATCATACAGTTATCTAGTCTCATTATTTTTTATTTAGTGTTGAAGTGATTAAGGTTTTTTATGGACACTCTGTATCTTTATTTTTGACTGCATGACCATCGTCTTAATATTCCTTCTTTGAAATCTAAAATAGTGTTGGATGGAGTAGTTTAATTGATAATGAATAATAATAATAATAATAATAATAATAATAATGACAACAACAAAACAACAGTAATAAAGGTGTAAGGTAATTTAATTTGAACAAATAATATGTATTTTTGATGCAAACAAGTTGGAGTGTGAAAGAGTTTTGTACTTCAAAGACAGATACAAAATATGGCCAAGGAAAGAAAAGGCATTTTGAAATGTTAGTAAAGTGATGGATTCAACACAAGAAAGTGTAATTTTAATTAAATGGACAATGAAGTCTGAACTTTGAAATTGATATACTTATGCCTTTGTTTTGTGCTGTACTTGTTTTGATATTTGTTTAGTGGGAAGAAGAACAACAGAAAATTACTGTATATGTTTAATTTTATGCTGACATTTGAAATACTGCAAAGTTATGTGTCACCCTGAAAGTCATGTACTACTATTTTTTTTATTAAAATGCATTGAAGTAAAGTGAAACTTGTCAAGAAAATTCGAAAATTTTGAAAAATTTGAATATTTTTTCAAACGTCTCCCTAAGTGATGACTGCCAGACTCAGTGTATGCCTCACACTCTCTGTAACTACCTCACCCGGTTACTACCTGACTGCCTCGGCAGGGCGTGGTTTCTGGTAGACCGAGTGTCTGACTGTCTCAATCTCTATCACCATGTCTCTTTCGGTCTCCGTCTCTCTCTGCTTTACGTGTTGTCTGCAGCACCAGGGCTATGCATTCGGCACGTCAGAGACCGTCATACAGACACCAGCTCGTGCAGAGACCAATATAGGCACAGACCGCGTTAGTCAGAGACGCAGTACGTCTGAGACGGTCCGACAAACACAGGTTCTCCAAGGAATCTGGTGGGGAGAATTTTGAAAAAAATTGAAATTTTTGAAAAATTTTAAAGGATAAAAAATGCTGTAAATTGTCCAAAAAGCAAACAAAACAAAACAAAATGAAAAAATTCACATCAAAAATATTTAAAGTTTTTCAATTTTTTTGTTTTGTGCGCTTTTTAGCCAATTTCTAGCATTTTCTGACTTCGAAAATCTTGAAAAATTTGAACTTTTTTCAAAAAATCGAAAAATACTGGAAATTGTCCAAAAAGCGCACAAAACAAAAAA